TAGAAACAAAGCAGTCTATCTGCCCCAAAATGCTTGGTTCAAACGGTGTTGAAAGCAGGACTGCATATAGCTACCCCTTCTACCAAAATGATGGCAAATCCTCATGAATGCACAATAAGAAAGATACCTGGAGAGGCCCTCAGGCACATGGGCTGAGGGGATGAGTTTGCAGAAAGAACTTGAAGGGATATGACCTACTAATGCTTTAGCTCAGCCAGGTGTGGGAGCGTCAGTCAACTTGGCCAGGAAAAGGATTGTGTTATGAGTCCAGTGGCGGTGTCTTTCCCATGTACCGCACTGACTTGAGCATGAAAGATTTTGGCAGAAACTGAAATCTGAGTTCAAGTGCTTCATCCAGCGAGAGCCAAGACAGATTGTGGGAACAGCTTACAGTCTTTAAAACCTGGCTTTTGCACACTTCACATGTGTCGTTTGTAACCAGCATGACAAAGTAGATGAAGCCACAGAAAAGTCAGGAGGTAATACACACAGGGGTTATCACTGTGGGTTTTGGATCTGAGTCCAACTCCATGTCCCTTGTCCCTTGTCAGCACTGGAGGGTCTGTGAATGGTACCCTGAATTCTCTGCAAACACACCTTCAAAGAGCAACTGGAACATACCTTTCTCTCCCTCTCCCCTCTTTGCACACAAAGAAAGCCTGGCAAGATATAAAACAGTAAGGCTTGTTGCTCTAAGAATTTCCACGACTTTATGTTGCTGTGATAAAACACCCATCTGCACTGCAAACCAGAGCACCCTCGTAGCTAGTTTATGGCTTACACAAGTTAGCAGTAAATCTGTGGCTGAGCCACCCTTTGGGCAAATGGACCATCTGTCTGCAGTCTGCAGTCACCAAATCCTCCCCCTCCTGCTTGCCACAATTCAACAGGGGGCTCCTGGGTGTTGCACTAGTCTCCGTTGCTGGGAAGGGATAGGGGATAAAGTTACAAGTACCATACTTCGTAGCTATTGCTAGCTGATCCTGATGGGGTAGTGGTTTCCTTACGTAACCATCCAGTGTTTGCCAGGCAACTGGAAACAAGCCAGTTAGATGGACTACAGCAAGGACGGCCTTAGGATTTCTGGGAGTTAATGGAAGCAGGACCACCAAGTCTTCCTGGGCAGCGCTGGAGTTCTTGCACTGTCAACATTCAAAGAAACAGGCAGTCCAATGCAAGTCTTGCATTTAAATGTGGCCCCTCCAATCTGCTTGCCTTCCACATCCCTGAGAACCATCCTCGTCTTCAGGCATCACTGAGCACTTTGGCCCTTTCTTCCTCCTCTTTGCTATGCAAGCCATGTCACCAGACATCCCCCTAATGCCACCAGACAATATATTTCACAGTCACTTTCTTTTTTAGCACCTGCTCAAGAGCGTGCCTGGGAAGTGACCCCTTTGCCTCCTGGGACTTGTCCCTTTGCACACGTCTTCCTGTGGTTGTCCATTGTTAGCTCGCAGGCCCTTATTCGGTCTCTAACCCTGGCTAGTAGGTTGTTTCATATCCTCAACGCCTTTTCTGCTTTTGGTGAAAAGTTGAATAACTTTCATTCCTCTTGATTTTTTTGTCCTCGGGTGAAGGATCTGCAAGTTGGAAAGCGGTCACCTATTATAATTGACATTAAATTCCCAGCATACAACTAACTGCATGAGCAGCCAAAGACAAAGTGTGCAGCGGCAGCCTAGAGACTTAAGAGCCATTTCACACATGTGTGTGCATCACATAACTGGAGCTCTCCGAGCTTGGTGACTCACAGCTGAAAATGACTATTTATTATTTATATAATGTGATCAGTGTGTCCATTCAGTGCATTAGCATTGTGTTCGAGGTGACCTCAAGCTTCTGTCCATCGTGCTGAGTGTTGTGCAGGATGAGGCTGCAGAATGCTGGACTGCAGGTGCGCATAATAGCTCCTTTCATATTGTAAACAGGTAAATCAGCAAGAGTAGTGTGCTAAATTTACTGCTTGATATGCAAGTTTACCACCTTTGTTGGGAGGAGTGACAAGGGGGTTGCAACTCTGTCGATTCTCCTTGATCTTTTGGTGTCTATTGACACCATGGATGTGGCATCCTCCTGGAGCAGCTCTGTGGGTTGGGTGGCAAGCACTGCACGCCAGTGGTTTTGCTACTATCAGTACCATTTTCTGAAAGTAGCAATGGGGAACTGTTACTCGAAAACCATATGAATTAATTGTGGTATCCCATAGGGGTTGATCTTGACCCTTGAGGTAGTTAACATCTATGTGAAGCCATTGGGGAGAGTCATAAGGGGTTTTGGCGTGAGGTACTATCAGTATGCGTAGGGACGCGGGTGGCGCTGTGGGTAAAACCTCAGCGCCTAGGACTTGCCGATCGCATGGTCGGCGGTTCAAATCCCCGCAGCAGGGTGCGCTCCCGTCGTTCGGTCCCAGCGCCTGCCAACCTAGCAGTTCGAAAGCACCCCCGGGTGCAAGTAGATAAATAGGGACCGCTTACCAGTGGGAAGGTAAACGGCGTTCCGTGTGCTGCGCTGGCTCACCAGATGCAGCTTGTCACGCTGGCCACGTGACCCAGAAGTGTCTACGGACAGCGCTGGCTCCCGGCCTATAGAGTGAGATGAGCACACAACTCTGACAAGACTGGCCCGTACGGGCAGGGGTACCTTTACCTTTACCTTACTATCAGTATGCAGACGATACACACATCTTTCTCTCCATGCTGTCTGAATCAGGAATGCAGTTTCAAGTGTTGGACCACTGCCTGGAGGTGGTAATAGGCCGAATAAATTGAAATTGAATCCAGACAAGGTACAAGTGCTCTGTGTTGCAGGCTCTTGGGTATGGGGAGTGGCTAGATGACATGTTCTGGGTTGGGTGGTACACCACTGGAGAGGTCAGGTTCATAGGTTGGTGGTGCTCCTTGTCCCTGCATTGCCAGTTGAGGCCCTGGTGATGTGAGTGGCTAGGGGTACCTATTTTCAACTCTGGCTGGCTTGCCACCTGTGTCCCTTTCTGAACTGAGATAGCTCAGTTGTGGTACTCCACACTCTGGTAAACTCAAGACTGGACTACCATAATGCCCTCTGTGTGGGGCTGCAGCTTTTTTATTTTCCTACACACTGAGTGTGATTTAATAAAGGGTACAGTACATTCATCCAGCAGTGCTCCTCCAACAGTGATTCAGGATTAAGTTCAACTTCTACTGATGTATTTAAACTCCAAGCGCCTTTAAATTCCACTTGTGGCCTAGCACAGCACTTGTGGATGTATGCAAAATATGTCAGATTACGAAGTTATGTGATCCTTCACTGTGGCAATGTGCTAGGGTGGGCAGGTGTGCCTCATTTGCTGCTTCACTGGGATTCTTAAAACTTCCTTCCCCAAGTGGTTGCCTGAAATAGAAGGAGGTTGGTAATCCTCTAGCCTGAATGGCACTCAGGAAATCCTCCTCAGCCATTCCTTCCCTTTGCTCCTTATAGGCAGCTTGCCAAGCTCCTATTCCATCTCCTTATAGGCAGCTTGCCAAGTCCTATTCCATCTCCTCCTTTATACGATTAAGCCTTCAATCCCAAATAGAGGTGTAGTGATGTGAGTTCACATAGTTACTATTTCTGCAGCAGGGTCCCCGTCTCCAGCATCTTAGAACCACACAATCAGCATGAAATGTGGAGATTTTTAGCCACTGAAAAGAAAGGAGATGAGTCAACCACTAAGAATTGGCTCCTGGGTTCACTCTGGAGAAGGCACATAGGAAGATCATTGAGGAGGAGTTGTGCTGTGTGCTCCAAGCATTTAGGAACACTCAGAACACAAGGTGCTTCAGTTTCAAAGCAACGCTTTGCAAGTTATGTTGCATACAGTGAGACTTCAGGCAAAATGTAAGTCATTGCAAAAGAGGATACTGAAGCACCCCCAAATCATTTGTCCATGCATGAGGCACAGGGAATAGTAGATCTAGCTGAAAGGCAACACATGCGTTGATCGTTACAATGCACCCCTAATTATTATTTTTGTATACTTATAAGATTGCTGTAGAAGTTTGTATAATCTTAGAAAGGGATGTGGATGTGAGGGTGAGTGTCTGTTAGAAGGCATAGCTGTGACTCTCATGAAGGGACCTTGCACTTCTGAATTTGCCACTACACTCCTGATCCCAAGCAGAGTGTAGCTTTGGCTCCTTGCTGGGTGGATCATTTCCTGTGCAGTAGATTTGTGCTTCCCTCCTCTGATGTCTCCTGTTGGGAAGACATGGCTGCCTGCCACAGTCAGGCTGTTGCTGTCTCTACAGGTTGCATTGCACCCCTTCAGTTTTCCCCTCTGTCTCCTTCGCCTTTATTTCTGGCATGGTTCCTTTTTCTGCATCCTAGGGCCTCACTGCAAGATGGGGTAGGGGTATCTTCCAGCCCTCATAGACAATAAACTCTGCATTGTACGCATACTTACCTGGCTGTCTCTGAACAGAAAGAAAGATCTTTCCTTCCCACACAGACATCTGGCCAGACGCAATTACTAAATAATTACAGTTGTGTACTCTGCCCTGGAGGTGGCTCCGAACAGCACTTAACCTTTTTCTTTTTTCTTTTTAGCCTCTTACAATTTAAGCAAAGAGACATGTTCCCACAATCAGCCTTTGCTAGGATAGAAGCAAACTCATCACCATGGGATCCCCAAAGTGACGTCTGGAAAAGACACACTTGCAATTAGCATCTGCAAGTACTCACTTTGCAACTGAGGTTTTCCCCCTTCATTAGGACACTGAGCCACAGCAAAAGCCAAGAATACAGCTGAGTTTAGGCAATTAAAGTACTGGCAGAAAGATGCATTGATCACACCTTAAATTGGGGCAACTCTGCATGTACATTTCCATGATGGGTTTGTCTCTGCACGGGGCTCCTGCTGCACAGCAAGAGGCAAATGTGTGGAATAGTGTGATAACATGTTTGTTAACAGCACTGCCAGAAATGTAGAATCACATCTGTTTTTTATGTTGTGGTGACCAAAGATGTGCTATTAGGGACAAGCCGTAGCTCAGTGGTAGAGCACCTGCTGTGCATGCAGAAGGTCCCAGGTTCAATCCCATTAGATCCCTGGAGAGCTGCTGCCAGTCTGTGTAGGCAATACTAAGTTAGATGGCAACCCTAGGCCAGACAATCCCTACCAGATTGCTCCAGAAAAATAGAGAACCTTAAAGGGTTCTCCTGTGCCCTGGAGCCTAGAACTGTATGGCCTCTCAGCCAGCACCCACCTGTTAGCAGGCACTGTGGAGCATGAGCCTCTTTCCCTCCCCCCAAATTGTAAAGTGGTCTGGTTCTTCAGAAGTATCTCACTTAGGAGGTGCTGTCTCTGGGAGTCCCCGTTTAGGGGGGGGGTTGTTTCCCAAGGGGCTCTTGGCTGACTAGCTACAGCTTAGGCTTGGTGCTGGCGCTCAGTTCTGAGCTCAGCACCTCCACAGAGTGCACTCTTGGTCTTCCTAACCTACCTAGCTCCTCTGCCTCTGTATTAAATGGTTGCTTGAAGCTAATGGTTGGGGTGATGACCCCAGGGTTGACCCCCCCCCATTGAGTCCTGCCCCATGCATGCACTCACAGGATATGCTTGCCATTATTGTTGTTGTTTTGCATTTCTCTGGAGCTGAAAACATTTTCCAGGCTGGGTCTTGGTGCAGATTTAAGCCCTGGCTAAAGCAGATTGATTGAATCCAGGTTGCATCCAAATACCATAAATGCTGATTTGTTCTCCAGTCTGTAGACCAAAAGAGTGTAGAGTAGGGTGGGGGAGGGACAGAGGGATACAATGGCATTTTTGGCATCTTTGGCTTCTATTGGAGGTGACCTACATGGTCCTCTTCTTGCTTGGCCACCCATGAGCAACTGATTCTTTAACAGTATGCCAATAAATATTTTCTCCTCTGCATCCCTTCCTCTGCCATTTGGCTATCACACACACCCATATATACAAGCATGTACACGCATAGGTATCCATGCTCTCTCTCTCTCTCTTTCTCTCTCTCCTGCCTCCCCCTTCCCCCCCTCTCTGACACACACACACACACACTTCATTATGTACATTCTGGGAACAGGAAGGTGGTTTCATTCAGCTCACTGTGACAGCTTTTGGGCTGGTGGAAGGAATGGCTTGGTTCCAGGTCCTTGCCCCTCACCCCCTCCTGCTCTCTGCGACTCTCTTTCCACATATGTGCCCAACCTTGCAAGTCACAAATCCATCTATCATTAATTAATTTGCCTGCAGTTCTGGGTTTTGTCCATTATCAGGTTCTCCTCCTTCCCTGCTCCCATCCCTGCAGATCATCAATAAAGAATAAGAGGACATGCCTATGACTGTCTCCTCGTCTCCTGCTGTGCTGTTTCTACAAACATCCTCGCAGATACGCCGGCTGAGCTGGTTACTCCAATAATGGGCTTAGAACTCCAGTTGTGCTGGGAATGGGACTCTGCTGGAGTCTGATCATGGAAGGTTTACAGGACCTCTTTGGAGAACGAAGGATGTTATTCAGGAAATACACAGCTGTGTAGTGAGGTAATTTTAGATCCTGGACTTAATGGTCATATTGGGGATCTCTAGATGGTAATGTGTGTTACTTGTCACTGAATGCAGCCCTCCCCATAAGACCATTGCTTTATAGGCTAGTGGTTGTTCCTCATTCCTCAAACAGATCTTGTAAACCACTTCTGAGCAGACTCCAACATGGATAGTAATGTGCATTACTTTGCTTACTTCAACAAGAGATAAACTAGCCCTGCTGGGTTTGTTGGTCCCTCCTGCTCATTCAGCTGAGTGGGACCTTGGACCTCTGCGCCAAAGTCCTGCCCTGATGGCACCACCCCTCATTGCAGAGCTCCAGTGGAGCAACAGGAAGGGGTGCTTCTGCACCCCCTCCCATAGTTCACTCCCTGTTGGCATCCATCTTGAAAGACAATGAAGTGCACCTCCAGTGGTGATTTCAAACCACACCAAAGTGACCTCCCCAGGGCACAAGCCTGGGCAGTATGTATGGAAGACCTGGGCTGCCCAGACAAGACTTTCATCTTGGCCTCACTGATGTGGTCCAAAGGAAAGCAGAGCAATATGTTTGGCACCAGCTTAGCTGCAGGAGTTGCCAGAAGGAGGCATGCAATGTGCCATCCAACCGTCTTAGGAACTCCAGATTTGTGTAGGGATTACTCCTTAGCCTTTACTTCTCCTGAAGATATCCCACAAGGCAGTGGAGGTTTAGGATCAGAGTTTTCCTTCTCCTAGATGGGCTACCTTTCCAGGTTGATGGGCCCCATCTGACCCTTACTTCCCTCTACGCCACATGCAGAAATCATATTCTTAACCATTGCATCTACTGTTGGTCTCATCCACTCCATCTGGCAGAGCCTGTCTTTGTATGCAAGGAAAATCCCTGTCACCAAGGGTTTGAGACCCATTGGCTACTCTCACCTGATTTTGCCAGCAGTTAAAGCCATTCCCTGGGGGTGGCTGCTGTCACAAGCTGACAGCTTCTAGGAGCCACAGGTGAGAGCTGAGTGCAGCGTGGGGACCAAAGGTGGACAAACTACCCCAGCAGCAGCACATTGTGTCTTCTACCAGAGGCACTACCCCTCCCCATACTTAACTAACTTCCCCAAAATAATGTCACCACCTAGCAACCACACAGAAGCATCCATTTAGCAGCCTTGAGAGTAGCAGTGGAAGATGCTCCAACACCCTGATCATTTGGGCAACCAAAATAATCAGGGTATTGAAACACCTTCTGAATAAAGAGAGGTTGAACCTTTCTGTTTAGAAAAAAAGATTGCTGTGTGAACACGTGTATGCAAGAGAGAGTGGGGGCTGGGTTTCTTGGTTTCTTGGGGGTGGGGATAGAGGAAACTTTCCCCCTTTCTTTCAGAAGTCAGGATCACCCAAAGTAATTGATTTGCAGTAGGTTCAGAGCTAACAAAAGGAAGTCGCACAATACATGGTTTAAATTAATGGGATTCACCACTGCAAGATATATTGATGTCCATTATCTTGGATGGCTTTAAAAAGAGAAAAAAGGATTATGCACATTCATGGAAATTATAGGTCTGTCAGTGGCTATTAACTGTGCTAGCTCAATAGGATTTTCATGTACTGAGACCTCAATACTAGATGCTGGAGACAAACAGGAGAAGAGCATCACTCTGATGCCCCATTAGAAGTTTTCCAGAGGTTTGGATTTCTGTTTGCAATGGAGCGTTGCCCATCGGCTGTGGAGTGTGAATTAGTGTGGATGAATGAATGGATCTCTGTATGTGTATGAATGGATGGATGGAGTGTTTGTGTGTGCAAGAAAGAATAAGCGTGGGGCAGCTCTGATTCTCTGTGCATTTGAAAGTATGGGGTGGTGACGAGATAGAGAGAGAGAAAGCCACCATCGTGTGGCCTCTAAGACATTACCCCTGAGGGGATGTGGTTCTCAGCAGGGGGAAAAAAAGTTCTCCACTCCTTGACAAGTGAGATCATTGGCCTGATCCATCACTCTTCGTATCCCCTATAAGTTCTTTAAAGTGTGCCAATGCCAGGACCTTTTGTCAACTAGGTAGTGCTGAGGAAGATTGGAGCCTGGTAGTCTTTGAACCATCAGCAGGGAGTAGCAGTTGTTTACAGCAGCTCCTCACATGTTCAGTGGCCCCCTAGAATGGTTTTTGCAAGTGGTGTAAAGTGGTGTCTCTGTAGCACCAGGGTTACCCGATGCATTTGCCCTGCTTGCTGTTTTATGGTGATCACTTGGGATAGTTTTATGGCAGAAAGTATGTACGGGGTGGGTGGGATGTTCAATAAGATGAATGTTTTTAATATTTTTTATTATGTAAGTTGTCTTGAGATCTCGAGGTGCAGGTATCATCATCATCATCATCATCAAATAACCTTCCTCTGTTTATTCTGGCCCTATATTCTGAGAGATTCGTCCTCCCTGAGAGGCCTTGAAACCCAGATACTGACAGTGAGATCTAGCAGTCCTTTACAGGATCCCAGCTCCATCCCACCTCCTCTGCTTCCAGAAGCCCCTCTAGACTGGTGATGTTTCCCCCCCGGGGTGTGTTCTGCAACAGGCCATTGATGCATTACTGCTGGGTTTATAGTGGGCCATCCACACATCATTCTGCTTTATTAGTTGTTCTGCAATGCTTTCTCAACATCACCACGTTATTGCCATCTTAGAAGGGTCCTCTTGCACTATAGCAATAAAAGTGGGACAAGCAATAAACCAGCTCATTCGTGGTATAAAAAGTTAGAGGGTTTCAGCAGGATGTTACAGGACATACAGTGATTGGAAACAAAGCAGCATGTTCCATTCCAAAAGTCTTCAGGCATAAAAGTATTAAAAGTGGGACTGTGTATAATCATCTTGATTCTATCATGACCACAAATAATCATGAATGTACCAGAAGAGAGGTGTCTGGAAGGGGCTGAGGAGTCTCCAGCCATTGGGGCCTGGCCCAACTAGCACACAGCACAGGCTCATGTCATCTGCCCAGATGCTATATCTCTCAAGCCTAAAAGCAGACAGTGATGAATTTTCAATTTGGGCAAGTGCAAAAGCGATGTTACTCAATTTTACGCTCACATGTACATCACACATGCATGTAAGAAAGCTCTCTGAAGCAGAGCCCTAATCACTGCAGAGAATTTAAACACACACACTGTAGAGAGAGACAGGGAATCATTTACGCTGGAGGCTTCAGATTACACAGTTTTCTTCAAGAAAGCAAAGCATCAGGCTTTGCTTTAAATCAAGGGAGATTCTTTCATCTTGTGATCGTTCTAGGGAGGCTGTTCTGCACGGTCACTCCTCTCACACCTAGAAGCCATCTTTTGATTTCAGAGGCAGATTTATTAATGGACTCTTTGTGTACACATATTTTCTCATGTGCTTCAGCTGACAGCTGGGACTGTTTGTGACAGGTTTGTCATCTCTGCTGCTACAGCAAGGGCAGGAGGAGTTGCTGATCTGCCTTAAGGCTATGTATGCAAGGCAAGGAACACACAGTGGGACAACAATGGCTGGGACTTTCATGTGCTTGTCACAGTCCCTAGATGCTGCTTTCCAATTCCTTGCAAGCATCTCCCAT